ACTGCCTGGTGTGTTTTGGAATGGCTGTTGAAACTAAACTGCTAACGAGATCGATAAAAGCCACAGACAGGAAGGATTAGGAGAGGGGAGGTTTGCAGTTAAGTAGACCAGGAGGGAAGGGAAGACAATCAGACACAGGTCTTACACCATTAGGGGCGGGGCAAACAATCAACACAGGCGGGGAAACTTTGATTTTGTTTTTTGGACAGGAACACCCAGAGGATGACACGCAGACTTTCAAAATAAAAATTTTGCGTTAGGATTAGAGACAATGAATCAACACCTGTAATGCCAGATACATGAATTTATAAACCTGTTGTTGTTAACTGGGCCTTACGTTGGTGTCTGTACCTGTGTCAGATGTCTTTGAATGGTTGTGAATTGTGTGCTTACTTTCCTTTAAGTAGGTTGGTGTGTTTGATGTTTTTGTTTGATTGTTATTCGGTTTTGTAGTGGTGTGTTGTGTAAATATTGGTGTTATCTTGTGGAGTGACATTGATCGGTTTTCAGTGGCTTTCTCCATCACTGAGTTGGGTTAAATGTGTGTGAAAAAGCACTGTTGGATGTGCTGTCAAAAGACGTCGAAAGTTTGCAGGATTGTTATGTTGTGGGTCAACTTTATACGCAGTACAGCGTCCATTTTACCATTCAAGATGTCGTGAGTGTTCGACGTGATTATATTAAATATCGTTTGATTGAATCACTAGTGCTTCACATAGTATCATACAGGGTGATGAGTTGTCTGTGATCACAATTGCTCACTATATCAATATAATGCTGTAATACAATGTTTCATTATCATACAATGTTTCGTGAGAGTTTGTTTACATTCTGTCATACAAATTCAGTAGTGTTGTGTTCATTGGATGTGTCACATTATCATTCAATGGTGGGTGTGTGTTTTATCACATTATCCTTACAATGGTGTTACAATACAGTGTTTACTTTCATACATTGGTAGTATGAGTATGTTCACTATTCTTTCATACTACAATCGTGTATAAAATTACATGTTCTTGACCTCAGTTGGTGGTTTATTTTGTACATGTTCGAGTTAGTTGGATACAAGGTGCGAATGTAGTGGTCTGTTCGTATAGGTTTTATGTCAACGCGTGAGGAGGGGGGGGGGTACGGGCGGAGTTGTTGGCTGAGCTTGGGTTAAAAACATTAACTGGGCCTGACAGTACCACCCCCTTAGGGCCGACACCTGGCGGCCCAGGACCCTGAGAGGCATGGAAGTCCCTTATGAGCTGGGGGTCCACGATGTGCCGGGAGGGAACCCAGGATCTGTTTCATTCACTGATCTAACAGCTGTTTATGAATATAATACATAATTTAATAATAATAATACACATTCATTGTTAGGAGGGTATTATGATATAGTAAATATATATATATATATTATAATACGTATACTAGTAGTATAGTAGTGCACACCCGAGCGTGGGGAGTATATATAATATGTATATACAGTATATATACAGTATATAGGAGTGTATGTATAGCAACTGTTGTTCAGTTCAAGTTGAATTCGAACTGATTATTTGTTGAGTAAACCTTTTTATATCAAGAGTATGTATAGATGGTGCGCGAAACTGCTTGGTGTCTGTAAATAACATTATAAAGGAGTTCGGTGTCAACCTGCTCTTATAAGTGTACCTGAGGATAACCGTCTGTTATGAATCGGCTGCTTTACACAATGCTGAATTTATCAATGTACCAACTGTTTCAAACTGGACAACATTTTAGGTTAAAGTTTATATAGGCTGAAGATTATAAACTTTTATGTAAACAAAAGTTTATAAAAAAACAAATTTAAGGTGATTAAAAGATCTGTAAAACGTTTGTCTCCACATCCAGATACAATGAACCTGTATCATACTGATTGATAAACCTGCTCACCTCCTCCCTCCACCCACCTCCAGGGGTGAGGTGAAGCAGCTCTTCTCTT